GCAAATGAGCCCCGCCTCCACTCACTCGCTCAGCTCAGAGATCCACTGGTTGACGATCACACGTTGATCTGATTGGTTACAAGGTCGTTTGTGACGTCAGAAACACCAGCGATTTCAAAGCGTGTTTTTGAGACTGTCTTTGGTTCACTGCAGTTTTAAGGAGGAAATACTCAGCAATGCTGTCGACTTATGAACTTACACATGGTGTGTCTTAAAGCAGATTAAAAACACCACATAGACATAAACAACATTAAAAGCTGGATTTACACCACAGGGGGACTTTAAACCTGAAAATGATAAAGTGAATCAATCAGTGTCAGATCTGAAATGAGCTCAAAGAGCATCAACAAACTTCTCTCTCTCTCACACACACACACACACACACACACACACAACGCAGGTGGGCAGACGGGTGCTGAGACGACAAGACACAAAAATAACTCACACAGTCGTATATAAAAGCGAGCTGGATTATTTTAGTATTCAGCTGCTTAAGCAGAACTGAAACTCATGCACCGTCCTCGGGTCAGCAAGATAGAAGAACAGCTTCAGCATTTACACACACACACTCCATCATCCCGAGCCACACTTCTATTGTACTGATAAACTTCTCAGCATTTACCTTTCTTAAAGTCTGTGCACCTGTCCTCGAGAAGCAGGGCTGAGCTCCTGGAGGAAAACCTCCATGCAAACGCTTCTCCTGCGGCGTCAGTGCTTTTAACACAGTAGTAGAAGAGCATTTCGCTGACGCCATTATGATCCCGGACGAAGAAAATGTATTGGCTAGAGATAGAGCGCTTACAACTATTGATTCCTGCTCATATATACACGATTATACAGCCAACTTGGAAAAGAAATGCCACGTGAAGGAGGACGCAAATGCTTTAAATGGTTGCATGCAACTTTGATGTCATTCTTGCGGTCCATTTTTGCGTACAAATATAGCAACTTTTGGCAGAATGAGAAGAAAGAGTGACAGAAAGAAAAAAAAGAGTGACAGAAAGAAAGAAAGAGTGACAGAAAGAAAGAAAGAGTGACAGAAAGAAAGAGTGACAGAAAGAAAGAAAGAGTGACACAGAAACAGAGTGAGAGAGTGAAAAAGAAAGAAAGAATGACAGAAAGAAAGAGTGAAAAAGAAAGAAAGTGAAACAGAAACAGAGTGAGAGAGTGAAAAAGAAAGAAAGAAAGAGAGAGTGAAAAAAGAAAGAAATAATGACTCCTGCGGCGTCAGAAAGAAAGAGTGAGAGAGTGAAAAAGAAAGAGTGAAAAAGAAAGAAAGAGTGAAAAAAGTGAAAAAGAAAGAAAGAGTGAGAGAGTGAAAAAGAAAGAAAGAGTGAGAGAGTGAAAAAGAAAGAAAGAGTGAGAGAGAGTGAAAAAGAAAGAGTGAAAAAGAAAGAAAGAGTGAAAAAGAAAGAAAGAGTGAAAAAGAAAGAAAGAGTGAAAAAGAAAAAGAGTGAAAAAGAAAGAAAGAGTGAAAGAAAGAAAGAGTGAAAGAAAGAAAGAGTGTGAAAGAAAGAAAGAGTGAAAAAAGAGTGAAAAAGAAAAAGAGTGAAAGAGAGTGAAAAAGAAATAAGGAAAGAGTGAAAGAAAGAAAGGAAGAAAGAGTGAAAGAAAGAAAGAGTGAAAGAAAGAAAGAGTGAAAGAATGAAAGAGTGAAAGAGAAAGAGTGAAATAAAGAAAGAGTGAAATAAAGAAAGAGTGAAATAAAGAAAGAGTGAAATAAAGAGTTAAAGAAAGAAAGAGTGAAAGAGTGAAAGAAAGAGTGAAAGAAAGAGTGAAAGAAAGAAAGAGTGAAAGAAAGAGTGAGAAAGAGTGAAAGAAAGAAAGAAAGAAAGAAAGAGTGAAAGAAAGAAAGAAAGAGTGAAAGAAAGAAAGAGTGAAAGAAAGAGTGAGAAAGTGAAAGAAAGAAAGAGTGAAAAAAAGAGTGAAAAAGAAAAAGAGTGAAAGAGTGAAAAAGAAAGAGTGAAAGAAAGAAAGAGTGAAAGAAAGAAAGAAAGAAAGAGTGAAAGAAAGAGTGAGAAAGAGTGAAAGAAAGAAAGAGTGAAAGAAAGAAAGAGTGTGAAAGAGTGAAAGAAAGAAAGAGTGAAAAAAGAGTGAAAAAGAAAGAAAGAAAGAGTGAAAGAAAGGAAGAAAGTGAAAGAAAGGAAGAGTGGAATAAAGAAAGAGTGAAAGAAAGAAAGAAAGAAAGAAAAAATGGAATAAAGAAAGAGTGAAAGAGTGAAAGAAAGAGTGTGAAAGAAAGAAAGAGTGAAAAGAGTGAAAAAGAAAGAAAGAAAGAGTGAAAGAAAGGAAGAAAGTGAAAGAAAGGAAGAGTGAAAGAAAGAAAGAGTGAAAGAAAGAAAGAAAGAGTGAAATAAAGAAAGAGTGAAAGAAAGAGTGAAAGAAAGAAAAAGTGAAAGAAAGAGTGAAAGAAAGAAAGAAAGAGTGTGAAAGAGTGAAAGAAAGAGAGTGAAAAAGAAAGAAAGAGTGAAAGAAAGAAAGAAAGAAAGAGTGAAAGAAAGAAAGAGTGAAATAAAGAAAGAGTGAAAGAGTGAAATAAAGAAAGAGTGAAATAAAGAAAGAGTGAAAGAAAGAGTGAAAGAAAGAAAGAAAGAGTGAAAGAAAGAAAGAAAGAGTGAAAGAAAGAAAGAGTGAAAGAAAGAAAGAGTGAAAGAAATAAAGAAAAACAAACAAAAAATATAAACATATATGTGTGTGTGTGTGTGTGTGTGTGTGACTGTGGATATGCAAACCAGAATAATGAAGATCTTTCTCACACATCTGCATTTCTGTACAGCTTTATTTAGCAAACACAAGTTGAAAATGCAATGCGACACCGATCCAGAGCAGATATTTTATTTTGCTGAGGTGTCCATAAACCCGCTGGCAAATCAGAGATATTTATCAAGCATAAATCTAAACAACATGTACATACAATTCTCATGGACATCAGTCTAATGATGACAGCAATAATAAATCTGATATGTCCTGATTCAGATATAGAGAGAAACAGGGTCGAAAAAGAGTCTTTAGTCTCTTAATCGGATTGAAGACACCCCATTGGTTGATTTCAGTGATAAGGCATTACGATTGGTCCCTGTAGAGCTTCAAGATTCACGTTTGGTCTGTTATGATCGGTCCCTCCTACCAGTTACATGCAAAGATATGCATGTGTCAATAACTAAACGAGTGCACATCACATGATTGGTTGATGCTGCTGATGATCAGCTTGTCAGACTGGTCTAACCATAGATATCCATAATAAAGGCTAGATGTCTCGTCCGCGCGGCTGGCCAATGGAGGGCGACGTCCACACCTGGCGGCCATCTTGGCACAGGCAGCTCGCTCACTCGTAACATTGTGTTTAATGGTGCATGTACTTTTTAAATAACCATAACTTGCTCAATTTTCGACCGATTTTCAAACGGTTTGGTTTGTTATAAACGTCAGAGATGTAGTTATGACACTGCATACTTATGAATAATAAGTGTATAAATAAATAATCATCCAGAATTATAGCCACGTTAATAACGTTTGTAAGAAACCAAACCGTTTGTAAATGCGCCAAGATTTCGAGGAGATAAGAGTATTTGTGTTCGTGCTGATCACTCATCTTACATCAGAGCCCGCCAGAAAGCTTGCCTGTGACAAGATGGCCGCCGGTGATGACGATAGAGACTCCGCCGTAGCCTTTATTATGGATATCTATGGGTCTAACTGGGAGAAGTGGGCGGGGTTAATTACAGCAGTATGTACACAGTTACAACACAAATGATCAAAATACTAAAAAATTTACAAAAACAAAAAATATTAATGCACCCATCATATTTAGCAGCATATGTATATAAAAAAAAGGTATTTTTTAAGAGGTGAATCTCATGAAACCAACTCTAATTAATGCAATGCAAAATATCCTGATATTATTTGAAGTATGATTTTTTTTAAATCACTGTATTACAGTAATGAGAATCTAACAAGAATAAAAAGGGGTTTAAAATGCGTTTAAATATCATAAATGAAAACCATCTTCTAAAATAAGCTTTATTTTCTTCATGCAAAATAAAAATGCTAATATTTTTGGAGTTGTAAAATGTTTTCATGAGATTCACCCATTGCTTTAAAAGAAACAAACATCCATCATCACAGGGAGTGTGTGTGTTTTCTGTGCATTTTTATTTGGAGTCTTAAGTGTGCAGTTTGTGAGAGAAAAAGTTCAGCCAGTGTGTTTGTGAAAACGATGGTGTCTAAAATAGTGTGTGTACAGTATAATGTTACAGTGTACTTACAAGTAAAGCGTATAAACACATTAAGTCTAATTGCACTTCTGAGTGGAGTTATGGGTTTCCTGTTTTCCACATGAGCCATGCACAAACCGTCCTCCCCCCACATCCTTCCATAAATCTCCCGTTCTCTCTCTCTCTCACTCTCTTCCCGTAAAAACTGTGCGTCTGTAACGGGGAGGAACAGATATGTGAACACGACTTCAACTGGCAGCAGTGAAACAGGATCATGTCCTTTTTTTAACATCATATTTAGTGTCTGAAGCGTTTAACATCTCTGTGCAAAACACACAGCTTTCTGCTTCCGGAACTCATTAACATAAAGCAGTCACCGTCCAATCAGATCAAGGGGTGTGGCTTTAGAAGAATTTGTCATCGATGCAAAGGTGTGTGATGTCATCTGTAGGCAGCGTCCAATCAGATCAGAGGGCGTGGCTTCAGATTAATTTATCTATGCGAGGGTGGGGTTGCATGACGTTGTCTGCACTCAGCAGCCAATCAGATTGGTGGGTGTGGCTTCAGAAGAATTTGTCACCTTCATCTGCAGTCAGCGTCCAATCAGATAAGTGGGTGTGGCTTCAGAAGAATCTCACCAATGCAAAAGTGAGGTTGTCTGCAAACAGTGATCAATCAGATTTGTGGGCGTGGCTTCAGAAGAATGTCACCGATGTGAAAGTGGTCATCTGCAGTCAGCACCCAATCAGATCAGTGGGTGTGGCTTCAGATGTATTTATCATCTATGCGAGGGTGAGGTTGCATGACGTTGTCTGCAGTCCGCAGCCAATCAGATTTTTGGGTGTGGCTTCAGAAGAATGTCACCGATGCGAAAGTGAGGTCATCTGCAGTAAACGTCCAATCAGATCAGTGGGCGTGGCTTCAGAAGAATGTCACCGATGCGAAAGTGAGGTCATCTGCAGTCAACGTCCAATCAGATCAGTGGGCGTGGCTTCAGAAGAACTTATCATCAATGCGAAAGTGAGGTCGTGTGACGTCGTCCGGGTTGATGAAGACGGAGATGGACTTCCCAGGATTCTCTGTGACCAGTTGCTGGAGTTTCTTCGCGAGCCGGTCGTCCGGTTGCTGATCGCCTCCCGGGTCCGACAGCGGCGACGGCAGGTTCGAGCTTCCGCCGCGCCATTGAAGCTCAAGCGTTAGCCGCGAGGCGGCTTTAGCGTGTTCGATTGCGCTCCGCAAGTGCTCCACTGGGTCGGAGCGTACAGACGATAACTTGCGCGCATGTAGCATAGCCGTGTCGTCGCTGAGGTGCTCTAGCATGTTGCATTGAGGGATGAAGTAATTAGGGCAGGTCTTATTAACCAAGCAATGCTGCAAGTCGTCGATCAAACCTAGCAAGAAGTGCGCGGCATAGTCTTCCTGCGCCAGGTACGTGTGCGGCAGGCGATCGCAGGACCAAAGCATTAGCGAGCGCAGGTGGTACGGGCTGATGGCTTTGGGTCGGGACAGCAGCTTAATAATCAGAGCTTTACAAGCTTGGTACGCCTGCATCAGACTCGTGGAAATGCACTTCTTCAGCTGCACCTCGCTGCGCGCAAACGACAAACGCCATTCGTTTTCCTTCTGGCCTGTAGAAGAGCACGCGGGCAGCAAATAAAACCCACTTATCACTTCCTCCTCAGTGATTTTCCCATCCCAAAAATGGTTTTCCATCAGCCAGCTTTGGGCCACCGCGGGCCAACCCTTGAACGAAACCACCGGTACCACGTCGTATAGCATCCGACTGCCTCCGACGCCCAAGATGATGGAGATCACCGTTGAGTTGCGCTCGACTTTCTCGACCCGAGGAACGCCACGCTGCGGCTTCTTCTGAATCTCCGCCAAAACCAAACTAATGGATTCGTAGAACCAATCGGCCACCAGCGTGGGCGAGAAAAAGTAGTTGGTTGCGCCGTTAACGTGGTCGACCACAGTGCAACAGTCCTTCCACTTGTTTATGGTTACCTCGTCAAACAGTCGCAGGCTGAGCCAGGAGTGGCAGAGCGCCGAGTGACGCATGTCCAACGTGACCGGCTGGTTTCGGTCGTGGAGTTTGAGCGCGGGAACCAGCAACGTGAAGTCCATGTCGTAATCCGTTCCCCTCGCGTACACCGTCAATTCGTCCAGATCCATGTCAACCACACCCTCCCTCACCCCGCCGGACAACAGCAGGTACTCATTGGCAACTGGAAGCTTCTGGTCCAACTTCTGCACCATGCCTGAAAACAGGAAATGACATCATTAGAGAGGGACACATGTTGTTTTTGGCCCTGTCGCAAATGGAACCCTACCCTGCATCTCAATGTCCATACTATCCATCCTAAACAGTGTGTGAGATTAAAATAAGTGTCCAGAGTCCAAGAGTATGCCAGAAGTTCCCGGATTATCTACTATTTCCAGTGGATTTTCGAAGTGTGGATCCGTACTCACTATAACAGCTAATATAACCCATTGCGCTTTGGAGGAAGAACTACAAACACGAGTAAAACGTGTTAAAAAAAACTACAAAAAATGGCAGATGTGCGCGACCGACGGCGAGAGGTTTAGATGAAGGTTTGAGTGACTAATAATTAAAGTTGAACCTACATTTTTTTTTATGTTATCCGTGTTATATTTCATCTGCAATAATGTAGACTTTTTTAAAACGATCCGTTTGTCCATTAACTTTTAAATGCATCATTACGCATGAATACGAGGAGAGTCTCTGCATGAAAGACCCGCGAATGCAAAATTAACGTGCTTTTGCATTTCTCTGCGATACAGTAGGGAATGAAATTAAATGAAATGTGGAGGATTTTATCTTTAACAAGATGATTGACAGGCCAGTTTACAGTGACAAGATGATTGACAGGCCAGTTTACAGTGATAGGATGATTGACAGGCCAGTTTACAGTGACAAGATGATTGACAGGCCAGTTTACAGTGACAAGATGATTGACAGGCCAGTTTACAGTGATAGGATGATTGACAGGCCAGTTTACAGTGACAAGATGATTGACAGGCCAGTTTACAGTGATAGGATGCGACAGAGAGCAACCGTTAAAGACGCAATTGTATGACGTGATAGTTTGTCCCAAAGCTTGTGTACTCTTTTGCTACACACTTAAAAGTATCTACTTTTTCTTCATAAAAAGAGTACATACTTTTGGGTGTAGTATAAGTAGGCGAATTGAGTTCGCAATTTCGTGATGTAACGCCACTTTGACTGGTCGGGAAGAAGTCTTCTGCGGAGCTCGCTTTAGTAAGGGAGCATATCGGCCTTGCGCGCACCCTTCTAAAACCTAAAATGACAAATGGGACACCTATGGTTTTGTGGACTTAACGGACAAACATACACGGTGGCCATTTTAAGTCCACAACACTGCAAGTGCACATGAAGTGTGTTATTTGGGACAGGGCCTTTATGTCATTCGTTTTCTGATTGTCAAATTGTACAGGCAAACATAAATGTTTGTGAAAACGATGTCAGTCACCCTATCTTCAATATACACAGGGTGTTCCACAGGGATCAATTTTAGGACCTCTGCTATTTTCACTGTATGTGAATAATTTGCCTAATGTGTGCAAAAATGTCGACACGATTATGTATGCTGATGATACGGTAATTTTTACACATGCCAAAAGTGCTGATGATGCATCCCATCAGCTTTCATTTGCTTTAAATGATTTGCAAAAATGGCTGATTGATTCATGCTTGTGTCTTAATGTTAAAAAGACCGTATCAATGTTTTTTAGTAAACCTAAAACCTAAAACTATGAGAGGTGACTGTGACTTGGCGTTTAGGCGGACCGCCTTTTCACAGAACGCTCTATCATATCAGGGGGTGAGCTCCTGGAATAGTATTCCTCAATCAGTGAGGGAAAGCACAAGTTTTCCTATTTTTAGGAGTCGTTTAAAAGTATGGTTGAGGGACACACAAATATGTGAGCATGTTTAGTAATCATAAGTTTATATATCAGATGTAAAATAGAGTTAGTGTTTTATAAATATAAAGGGGATAGAAGTATTAGTGTGATATGGGTTGTGTAATAGGAGTTAGTGTAGCATGGGTTGTGTAAAAAGGGTCAGTGTAATATGGCTTGTCCTAATATGTTGTGATCACTGTTACTGTCCTTGCTTCTCTGTATATAGCCCGTGCATAGTGTCTGTATGTATTTATGTGTAACATCTACCTGCTTAGGGGTCTGCAGATGGAAATTAGCCTATGGCTATAATCTGGCATATTTACATTTGTGAAAAATGTTCATTAATATGTATTGTCCCTTTTGTCTTTTTTTCTACAAATAAAATAATAATAATAATAATGTCTGAAATAGTTTCTGATATAGTACAAGTTGGAAGTTTGATGGAAACCTTTACTTCTTCCACATCGTTGTGATATCATATAAAAATATGGTACAAAAATGGCAGGGACTTTAGATAATACACTGCAGTTTAAAATCTAATTTTATTATAGCTGATGTTTCTTGGGCGCTTTCTTTGTTCAATATTTTGGAGGCGAATTAAATCTGCATTCAATCAGTGTAATTTTTGTGCCACTAACATAATAAATAACAAAATAAGTCTAATTAATTATATTAATTACATTTAACTTAATGCAAAGATCATCACAAAAGTAACTTTTAGAGTAGTGATAAAGGTTTTGCACATGGATGCACTTTGGCATTATGAGCAACTAATAGTTTCTGTGCTGTAAACAGTTATGTTGCAATTACAGTAATTCTGACGAGACGTGAGCGCAGCATTAGAGGGAACGAATGGCGTTGCCTAATGGAACAAACTTCATAATAAAAAAGGTTAATCTTTAATAACAAGATCAACAGAGCAAACGCAATAAAAACTATTCCAACACAAACACAATGAACATTCCCGACCAGATGCTAGAAACACACTCCTAAAGAAAATAATCCCCGGTGTCAGATGACGTCACACCTGAGCTCAACCTCATGAACCCGCGAGTGACTCGGGGGCATTCAATCTGCCGTCGGCAGCAGAAGCAACTCTAGAGAATCTCAGAAAAACGAAAACAAGTTAGTGACTCTGCATGAGTGTGTTTATTTTGGGCCCTGCACATCTGTCACACTCCTCCGGTGAGGCCACAGTCAGCAATACACATTTAGCCATTCATTTTATCACGTTTTCCACTACCAATACAAGTGCAGTAAACTCAGCTAAACATGCAAATGTGATTTGAAGGGGTCATGACATCTTTTTTTATTATTATTTTAATATGTTCTTTGAGGTTCACTTACAATTTTGCACACAAAAAAAAAAAATATGGAAAAATTATTATTAACTGTCGGAAATTATCTGTTTTTAAGGCGTGGCTCCTTTAAAGGAGAACTCCGGCGCAAAATGAATCTTTGGTCTAATAAAACATTGGTACCTAGTCAACCGTTCTCTGAGACTTGTTTTCATGATAATCGAATGTAAAGAGTTTTATCTCTAAAAACTGTTTAGCGTATAACGCTAGTAATGGGGGCATCTATTAAGTAAAAATAAATCGCTAGTTTATACCACTAACAAGACTCAAAATAGCCCCACACGAACACAGTAACATAATGAGGGTCCCTACATGCAAAACGAAGCATTGAGAACTTTGTAAGTGTACAGACCGTTTAATAAGAAGATAAAGATAAAGACAGTCCACTTCGTGACATACAGACAGGAGCCATCTTTGGAAAACAGACTCGACTAATCAAACCACGAACGCCATTCATACAGTTCAGAAGTTCACTGAACTTCATACAGTTCAGCTCACTTAGCACGTCGTTCGTGGTTTGACTAGTCGAGACTGTTTTCCAAAGATGGCTCCTGTCTGTATACACGAAGTGGACTGTCTTTATCTTTATCTTCTTAATAAACGGTCTGTACACTTACAAAGTTCTCAATGCTTCGTTTTGCATGTAGGGACCCTCATTATGTTACTGTGTTCGTGTGGGGCTATTTTTGAGCCTTGTTAGTGGTATAAACTAGCGATTTCTTTTCTACTTATTAAATGCCCCCATTACTAGCGTTATACGCTAAACAGTTTTTAGAGATAAAACTCTTTACATTCGATTATCATGAAAACAAATCTCAGAGAACGGTTGACTAGGTACCAATGTTTTATTAGACCAAAGGTTCATTTTGCGCCGGAGTTCTCCTTTAAGGCTTGTCAGTAAATATCCACTCTTATAATTGGCTAATGTCATTGCAAAGGAAACAGTGTCAAGGAGCACTCACTATTGAAAGCATTATCCATATAAAACTGTCATTTACAGACAAATGTAATACAGTCGCTGCTTCATCTGCCAACTACACTGTGCCTCGTTTATAAAAAAAAATGCTTCGAACAAACATATAATCCTCAGACGTGATTCGGGACACCATTAAAATAAACCATCCACTTGTTTTTGACACTGGGATCCTTCTGAAGTCTGTAGAGAGACTCAAACCAGCGGTTTCAACTGGATGATCGCTCTTTCACTCTTCCATTTGTCCTGTTGTTGACAGACTCAAGAGTGTGATGTCAGAAACTGAACACACATCTGTATACTGTCTCGGTGTAGACAGCGCCAGTGATTATAATGGCTTCTGTTTGCTTTTGACGTGACGCTCACATCCAGTGTAGGCAAATGTCAGCCATTAAGCGATTGAACGCCAGTGGGCGGGGCCTATGTCACAAGTGGGCGGGGCCTATGGTGCGATGATCTATAACTATTCGTCGATGTTATATGCAAATGTATTTGCATGACGTCACAGATCCCGCAATATCAAAACGACATGTTTTTGGAGCTTGATTAAATAAATACTCTGCTTATAATGAAGTGGATGTTTTAAAGGTAGTGTAGGCAATTTTTGCGGCTAGCAATAGCAAGTTAGCTTGGATAGAATGAGATCCAACCTTCCCTTCAGAGCGTCTCCAAAGCCACGCCCTCCTTCAAAACACATAAACGGGTACAGCCAGAGCAAACAAAAGAGTAAAACTACCTCATGTCCCAAAGAACATAACATTACAATAATAATAAACATAAACAAGAGTACTGATCTGTACCTTCCTGACTGCTGCAGATTAAAAAAATTTAAAGAAGCCAAAAATGTATAAAATTGACAAATCTGCAAATTTATTAACTTAATAAAAAAAATGTAAAAGCCTGCCAAAATTATAAATAAATGTAAAAAAGTTGCAAGCATGAATTTTTTTTATTAATTAATAAATAAACAAGCGCTGCCAAA